ACTTGGCTCTTATACAAGAACTTGTATCCTGATGACGACGAATAATTCATTTTTTCATTTTTATTATTCAATAACTATTAATTTGTTTATTTCTTTTTTACTATAATTTATAGTTAAATTAATTAAAAAATAAGTTATCATTTTGTATTTAATAATACAATTTTTATTATTATGTTTTAATTATATTATTAATTGTAGTTAATTATTTAAGATCGAACATCAATCTTAATTATAGTGTGGAATGAATTTCCTTTTTTAATTAAAAAACGAAGTGGGAATAATAACAACAGTTTAGAATACAATCCTCAGTGTGCTTTTCCAAGTTTTTTTCATTTTTTGTAATAAACTATTTTTTTATTTTTATATAATATATTATAAAAAAACCATAATTAAAATGAAACAAACTGACCTTATTAATAATAAGGAACATAACTATTAAAATGGTATTTGTTTTTACTCTTTGGAAAAATATTCTTTTAAAACAACGGGAAAATATCCAATCACTCAATCGATCTGATTAAAATTGGCATTCAAATCACAATAAATAACAACAGAAGTGACGGAATGGAGTTGACTGATTAACATTATAAACAAAACAAAAGTTTACATTCCAATGGAAACGATCCATTAATAGTAAAACAACTAATAACAAGTAGTTTAAACATCAATTTTGAAAAGATGAGAGTTAATCATTCATAATACTTGGTCGTTGCTACGAGTCTTATTTTCCACAAACAAGTTTCTTAGAATTGCTCCATCTTTACTTAAAAGGATATCGACTTTTCTTCTAATTTCCGGTTTAGTTGGTTTAGGGGTTTTGAAAAACTTTTGGGCGTGTGTTCTGACTTGTGTTGGGTTTCGAGTTAAGACGTAAGCGGAGATCTGTTGCACAGGAAGCCCTCGACACTTTTTAGCATTTAAGAAGTCGATGCAAACCAAGAACCTGATGTGTTCTCTGTCATTCCAATACCGGAAGTCTCCGGTTGTAATCATAGGATGGTCAAACAAAGCTTTCCATTTGGTGTCTTGTTCGTTCCATATCTTATCGAACTCGGAGACTATTCCCTTGTGTGTCTCCAAATCATTTGCCATTTCTAACCCGTCGTTCCGTTCAGATCCTCCTTTTTATAGTATAGTATACTTTATTTATAGCTCTTTCTTGGGTTTCGCCTGATTCTAGTTCTATTTATTCCAACGCTCGACCCAAGTGATTGGTGATTCGATGAAATGAGTATGAAATATCGCAATCATATCTCGTATTAACAAAACTCATCTTTGATGAAGTGAGCCAGTACCATTTTTTAATAATACTTGTACTATATTTAACTATACCTCCAGAAAGGATGTGTTTCCCGAAGATTCTGGGTTTTGAACAGTTACACTAAACACTCAGATTTCACACGTGAGAAGATAACCCTGAATTCTTCCCAAATCATTCATTTGAACCAAATAATCCAGAATGGCTGAAACAAAGGAAGTCTCCTCACAATTAAATGACAAGCGTTTCATGCACCGAGGCGAAGAGGACCACGTCGACGCCACGTCATTTGACGTGAGTTATGTGACGATCTTGCATGAACTTCAGAAGACCTTTCAATGGAAACGGGTCTATGGAAATCGCAAAGCACTTTACAAAGAGGAGAAGGCTGAAAAGTTCCTTGATACCGAAACGGATGAAGAGAAGCAGTTGAATGCGTTATACAACAACGAATCGCACATCGATTCCCTCAAAACACCAGAACAAATCGCAAAGCGCAGGAAGCTCCTCGAGAAGCGACGAGAACAAAATCGTCCAAAAATCGACGTGAAAGAAAAGAGAGCCTTCCCCGACGCTATTCGCATCGATGAGCCAACAAAGCTCGAGCGACTCAAAGCGGCTCAAAAGCACAAGGACCACATTCTCGACCTCTGAACTATTTAATTATAGTACTTTAACAATAAATTTACTATACACGAAGCACACACTAATTGATTGAATTACAACGATACTTCGTTTTCAAAAGGGGAGGACCTTGGGAGGTACTGATCGAGAAAGGTATGGAGGACAATAGTCTCCTTATCTATTTGGTCTTTCGTCGCTTTGTCAAGAGCGTCATTCAGACAGACGCACTGTGGCTTCTTGTTCTTAATGTTGTTGATGGTCTTCAAATTCGTCGCGCGATTTCCAGTGAATGTAGCGTAATAGTAGTTAGACTCTCTGATGTATGTACCATTGCCAGACTCGACGGCATAAGCCCCATGTGAAAATGGGACTGCCATATCGTCGTCGTGGCGGAACTTACTCTGGCGAGTTTTGACGTATTCCTTTTTCAAGTTCTTTTCGAGATCGGCGAGGATTGAGGTTTTGAAGAAATAGCAGTGATGGGAGACATAACTGTGTTTCTTAGTAGGGGGCTGCTTGAAGATTGCATTCACCCGTTCGTTTGAGTATCCGACACTGCGGTGCCATATGTTCTTTTGCATTCGTTCTTTGTCGGGTGCAGCCCAAGAGTTGGCATAGATTTTGAGTTTTCCGGTTTGTGCAATGAAATGGGAAGGACTTAATGTGTTACCAAGAAACATGTCATCGTTCAAATACAAGAAACAAGAAGACAAGTTCTTGATGTTGTGAAGTGAAACTTCTAAGGCATTTGAATTGAAAATGGGAAGGACTGAAGTGTCGGGGAAGATCTCCTTATGGGAGACGATTCGCAACTTATAATCGTTATACGTCAATCGCGACATGTTGATGAAAGACGGAATTTGGTCCATTGTCACGATGTAATAATTCTTGATATATGGAGCATATTCATAGACGGAACGTAAAGAGTATTGAAGTGTGTTATAGTCGCGAAACCTCCCCTCCCCACTCTTCTTGCCACTTCGCTCGTATTGTTGTCGGAATACCGGATCAGATCCATTGACCCATAACCACACAACATCAATCCCTTCAGGACACACCTTATCTGTGTATTTCGGCACTGTTTTATTCACCAATTGAGGTAGGGTTTTCTGTTCTATAGTTATTGATATTTGTTGTTTCGCTGTTTCGTATTGATACATAACGACACGCGGGTCAATCAAGAATTGTGGCGTTGTGAAGTACAAGAACGTGAATAGAACACACATCAAAATAAAGACGAGAGAAGTGACTTTCATCATCACACTGAAATTCTGAGATTATATTAAAAAGTTATTATAATTAATAGTTTCATGATGGTATTAGTAGTAGAATAAAAAAGATAACGAAGTCTAAAAAATCTCACTTGAAGAGTCTTCCGTCTGGATTCTTTCTTCCTCCGAAATCACCTTCCCAAGCCAAGAACTCCTTGATGATAACCTTATCGGCTTCGTTGTTAAGATCCATCTTTCTGGTATCATAGCACTCAGTATCAGCGCAATCAGTGAATTCCTTTGGTAATTCGTGTCCAGTGAAGACCCAGAGGGCTTCGATTTCGTATGGGGATTGCTCACCGAAGATGAGGATTGAACCGAATCCGTTTCTGGAGAGAGAGTCGAGTCTCTGAATGGTTCCACCAACCAAGTTGTTGACCATGAATCTCTGTGGCATTTCGACTGGGGTGTTGTATTTGGAGAACCAAATTGTGAAGTGCTCACTGTCGAAGTGTTCGAAGAACCATGGGATGGACTCGGTAATTTCAGAGTTGCAATACAAACGCTTCCAGCTTTCCAAGTTGAATTCAACCTTTGGTGCTTCAGCCTCGGCAGTTTCAGTGGCAACTTTCTCTTGTTCAGTCATAATTTACGAGATAAGAGATGTGTTCTCTCTTTATATATTATCTTAGGGTTTTCATATATTTCCAATTAACGGAAGATGAATCAGTAACTCTTCATATACCCTATTCGTCGGGAAAAGTCACCATTGAGTCTTCTAATCTGAAAAAAAGACTCATCACTCCGTTTTTCAGTTTCAAGGGTTTAAGAAAAACGTCCGTTAGTAAGGAGTGGTGTTTGGTTGGACTTTAAAATTTCCACGCTAAACTGTACTCTCCATTCCGACATCTTTTTATCGTGATTTTTTGTTATTTTTTTAATTTTTTTAATTAATTAATATACAGTATAAGGAAATATGGGGATGCTCGAAAAAGGAGGATGCTCGTAACTATTGGTTAATTTCAATTAAAAAATAATAAAATTACTATTAATTTTAATATAAATAATTAATCAAATAATTAATAAAATGAAAAAACCAAAATAAATTTATATTAGTTATTTATTATTAATAATATTTAATTAATTAATATTTAGATTAGCATCCGCCTTTTTCTCAGCATCCCACTTTTTCTGTTAACTGTAATATAAAATAATATTTTAAAATATGTTTTTTTCAACAGCTTTGTATTTTTTTCATTCATAGTTATTATTAGTTATTTTTTAATTAAATTAATATTATTTTCAATTGAATTTATATTAATATAATAATCTATATGTAATTCAATATGATTGATTATTGAATTAGTAAAACTATAATAATAACCATATTAAAACTCACATTCAATTTCATTATTATAGAGCTATATATAATAGTAATCCAGAAAAAGTGCAAAAGAGATAGTAAGTAATAACAAAAGATAGTATGGACTATAGAAATTCAAAAAAAGAGAAAAATGAAAGTGAGATTGTCAAACAATGTCTTCTTCACGCGCGCCCACGTCCGTGTATATCCCACAAAAACCAAATTTTGGTAATCCATATCCACCGATCCGACCTCTAACGCGACACCCCGCGTCGAACCCACGAACCACAAAGCCAACACTGAGCACATCGAAAACTAAACCGCTGAATAAATCGCAGCTCACAATGACGCAAAAGAGGAAAACGACGATGGGAGAAGTCCCCCCAGAGGTCTTTGAAATGTTAGGAGAGAAACTAGAGAAGATGATAGAACTTAAGATGGAGAATGCCAAGTTACAAAGTGAGTCGGTTGTTGAGAAAGGCAATGGGAATGAAGAATTGAAGTTCGAGTTAGATAAAACGCAGAATGAATTGAGAACAGCAACTGAACGCCTCAGAGGCTTGTCGAATGAAATTGAGACATTGAGTCTTGAGAAGAACTCAATGCAGAGCCAACTCGAAATCATGAAAAGAACAGTCGAGACTGCGAACTATAATTGTGAAATGGAGAAACAACTCCATACCGAAGCTCAATTCAAACTCGCACAACTGGTGCAACAACTAGAAGCTGCTCAGGGAGAACTTGAGTGTGTTAAAACAGAATTGGCTAAGAGTGAGGACAAACTATTAGTCTCTGAAAAGGAAAGGAGAAGATTACATAATGAAGTTATGGAGTTAAAAGGGAATGTGCGAGTGTTTTGTCGAGTACGACCGCCAATGAAGAGAGACGGGACGGCTGTTGATGTGATCGATGAAAACAACACGGTGATTGTGAAAGTGACCAATTACAACGGGAAAGTCGAGAAACTACGATTTGGAGTTTGTTAGTTATCTCTACCACGAATTTTATGATTGAAATAACAAGTAGTTTGATCGAGCATTTGGACCAAGTTCAACACAAGAAATTATATTTGAAGAGATCAGTCAACTTGTTCAATCGAGTTTGGATGGGTATCAAACGTGTATATTTGCGTATGGACAAACAGGAAGTGGGAAGACATACACGATGGAGGGAGAAGAGGGGAAGCCCGGCATGATCCCGCTGACAGTCCACCAGATATTTAGTACCATAGAAGAACTGAAAGGTGTTGGGTGGCAGTTTAAAGTGCGTGTGAAGTATGTTGAGATCTATAACAACAACATCTTCGACTTGTTGGTTGAAAGCAACGAATCCAAAAAATTGACAATTAAGTATATAGATGGCAATGTGACATTACCAGAAGCAAGTGTTGTAAATGTTGATAATGGCAAAGATGTGGATGGCTTGATTTCGATTGCGGTGAGGAATCGGAGTGTTGCTGAAACCAAATACAACGCGCACTCGTCGCGGTCACATAGTGTTTTTATCATGGAAATCTATGGGAAGAACTTTTCATCGAATGAACAGCGATTTGGGGGGTTAACATTAGTTGATTTGGCGGGGAGTGAGAAAGTTGATGAGGGAGTGAGAGGGGAGCGATTGGAAGAAACGAAGAACATTAATGTGTCATTGTGTGCATTGGGAACAGTCATTGCCGCGATTGCAAACAAAGAAGGACATGTTCCATATCGAAATAGTAAATTAACGGAATTGCTCCAGCCGTGTCTTGGAGATGAATCAAAGACACTTATGTTTGTGAACATCTCCCCAGACAATGAAGATGTGAGTGAAAGTGTTTCATCACTCCGATTTGCAACTAAAGTGAATACGTGTGTTATTGGGACAGCTAAGAGACATGTAAAATGAATAATTTGTTTTGATGATTGATTACAGTTACTAGTGAGTTGTATTTTCTCTGAATATTTCGACATCCAAACGACTTCTTATATATTGTTTAATACGCCTAACAATTCTCATGGAGTTTTTATCTTGTTGTTTTGTTCGTCACTTTTTTCAAGGAGTTTATTTCATCACAAGTGTTATTAAGAAATAAATCAATTCATTATAATTTAAAATACAATATTAATTTTACCTTACTTGTATTATAATACCGGCGATATCTAATTCGAAATGATACCGAATTCTAATATTTCTAATACCTCTATATAGTATAGTATATTATAATAAGTATATGATATATTTTAGTTATGGAAGTTATCAAAATAGTTTGTACGTGTCAAGTCCAACAAAACACCGCGAACGAGTCTTTTGAAGAATTCTTTTGAAATAGAAAAAAAACCCAAGTCGTCAAATTGGGAAGAAAAAAGCCTTTAAAAAGTGGAGAAAAAAAAGGAGCAAACTTGAAAAAGAAGGAAGAGGAATGTCAGAAAAGAAGTCAGTTCTTTTGATCCGTCCCAAATGCCCCCTAGTGGACACTCGCACTGTCAATAAGAACGAGGAAATTATTAAATCGTTTCCTACCCCCCTGAAAGATATTGTGTCGTCCCCGACTAACATAGTCTTTCTGACGGAGAACAACGAGTTGTATATCACCGGGCGAGTCTTCGACCAAACACAACACGGAGTGTCTTTATTTCCGTATTCAGTGTGTGCGCGAAGTCGCGACTCTGATGTTGTGAGTGTTCCGACGAGGATAGAAGGGATCAATTTTGTGATCGATAAGGTCTCGATGGGATCCTTCTTCTGTATGTTGTTATCTAAAGGACGATTGTATACGTGGGGGTCCTTCTCCTTTGGGCAACTTGGTATTCCCGATGCCCGAATATTTAATAAGCCTGAACTTGTGCCACAGCTCTCAGGCATTCAAGACGTCTCGTGTGGAAGTTGTCACACGCTTGCTTTAAATGTGTGGGGAGAGATCTTCTCGTGGGGACAAGACGACTATGGCCAGCTTGGGAGGAGTCGAAGTCAAAAGAATGACATCCCCACAGACATTGAGTTCTTTAGAAATCACGTCGTGACGAAAATCTTCACGGGAGCGTTTTGTAGTGCTTGCATCACGGATGAGGGTATGGCATTCATATGGGGGAAACACTTGAAGATGAAAGAGATCAAAAGAACGCCAACACAACTTTCGTTCAAGAAGACACTGAAGCTGATGTCGTCGTTCTTTGTGATCTCTATAGAATTGGCATATAATGACATCTTCTTAATACTCCATGATGGGACAATGCACCGATTTATTGATTTTGATGATTTTGAAGAGGTCGATTTACTCTCGCGAATTGGAGTGACACGTGCGGTCGGAGGGACGCACTTTACACTTGTTGAAACGGATACTTCGGATATCTATCAACTGAATCCAAAAGAGGGAAAGACGGCGACGACGAATGTGATATATAAAGCAAGTGAGTTTGACAGTGAGTCGCATGTTGGAGCGATGTGCACGAATGCGGGGTCAGTTTTTGTGCTATTGGATTACAACAAACAGTATGGGAAGGTGAAGACTATTGTGATGTTCTTACGCAAATTTATGCGCCAGATTGAGTGCATAGTCTCGTATTATATGGACCCAATGGTTTCCTATGCGAAACAACTTGAGAATGGAAGTTATCGACTTACGAAGTCGAGTAATGCGAAGAAGAGAGCGTCACAGACTCCACGTGACTTAACGAAAAGCAGTGCCATTACTAGTGATGATGAGGCGTATGTCTTCTCGACGGAAGATGTTATGAAGATGTTCTATGGTATTAAGCCGCTCACATACTTGTTGCCCCAACTGTTGTGTGTTGCGACGAACATTCTCAATTTGTGGCGAGCGAATTCGACGATTTACCAAATAGTCGAAAAGTTCTTGGAGCTCAACATTTCGCGGCAATTTGTGGACATCTCGGTGAAGGCGGGAGAGTGTTTTGCGCTGCTCAAAATGATGGAAAAGAAGTCACCTGAGTTACAAGAGTGTGCGAAGAGGCAACAGGAGCTGATTGATCAATTTGATGCGGAAACGATCTTTGATGGGAAGACTGATTTGCCGTCTTTAATGTTGTTGGCAGTGAAATTTGTTCCCCAGTTCTATCAGTTAGTCGACGACTATTATAAAACACTTGACGAGAGCCAAGAAGACTATTTGAAACTGCACCAGATTCTTCCCAAATTTGAGAAATTGTTGTCCCGCGTGAACGATTCGTTTCATTTGGACAACATTTTTGATATAGTGAACTGCTTTCCTGATGAGAGCGGTAACGTTTCGATTACTTCGGGAGGTGTTACGGAGTTAATCACACGATTATATAACATGAACTTGAATGACCCGTCATACACTGACATGTTCTTGATGACTCATAAGAAGTTCACTGATTCGGAGACCGTGGTGTTACAATTAGTCGACGCATATACTGCTGGAGTAGTTGGAGAAGATTCGAAAGCGTGTATCTTGTCAGTCCTGAGTCATTGGTTTAGGAGCTATCCGGGCGACTTTGCGAACAAAGCGGACCTTGTTGGGATCATTCGGATTTTGGTGACGAAATCGGAACAAACTGACTTGACACAAACACTGCAGGCGTCGTTGAACTCACTTGGGATGTCATTAGCGAAGAGGAAGAATAGTCGAGTATTTCTACCACTGAATACCAGCACGAGTTTGAAGTATACCCACTTTCTCCCAGCGAATGTGATGCCCCTTGCGAAGGTATTAAACTATTTCAATACACTGATCTTCTCTCGGGTGAGCTATGAAGAACTTATATTGATCAATTGGGGGTCTCCAAAGAATAAGGAGAATACACCGAATTTGCAGAATATGACGGAAAGGTTTAATTGGATTGGAGACACTGTTGTGCGATGCTTTAATGAATGTCCGAAGAGCGAGAGAGTCAAATTTATTGAAGGAATCATTTTAATGATGAAAACATTCCAAGGGATGAAGGATATCCATTTCTTGGTTGCGATCACATACTGTCTGAAAACAATTGATATCGACAGCATTAAAACAAAGAAACTGAGCTCGGAAGATAACGCATATCTACTCGAAATGGAACAACTGTGCACATTCCAAAAGAATTATAAATTTTTGAGACAATATATGCAACAATTGGAAACCCCATATATCCCTTTTATTGGTGTTGTGAGTAAAGACTTGATGCTGGTTGATGAGGGTAACCCAGACTTTGTCGGCGAGAACTTGATCAATGTGTATAAGTGGAGGAAAATCTATGAACTGATCGAACAAGTCATCGGAGCAAAATATCCACAACCAAAACTCGAATGCCCAAACGAAGAACTCCAAATTTTGGTACAAACAATTTACTCCTTCAAATAAATTTCTCTTGTATTTTCGTTGTGTTTGAAATGCTTTATATTCGTTTGAATTGACTTAACTATAACGTTGTATAATATAATATAATATAATATAATATAATATAATATAATATAATATAATATAATATATTATTATATAATAGTATAATATAATAGTATAATATAATATAATAGCATATAGTTTCAATATAATTGTGTTAATCATTTAGTATAGCTTTGATATAATTTTTGAATCTCTTTTGATTAGAAGCAAAAACGAAATGAGTGATTTCAAACGAAAATAGAACACGAATTCATACTCTTTCGTATAGTATTATTACTAATAAAAAAGTTATAAAAAAACTAAACAAAAAAGTCTTAATGTGGAACCACATTCTACCAATGAAACTCAAATCGACAAACAACGAGAAGAAGTTCAATCAACCAAAAATGAACTGAAGAGAACGTTCTGAGTGTTCCTCGAAAACTTGATAAAGGCGGAACTGAAGGAATTCACACTAGAAAATTGCATGAAATATATCTTAGCTATTGATCAAGGCACAACAAGCACGCGAGTCATTCTCTTCAACGAGAGGTGTAAGTCCCAATATGTCGAACAACGAGAATTTGAATCGATCTTTCCTGAGCCTGGGTGGGTCGAGCAGGACCCCAACATGATATACAACGACATTGTCGCAATGATCAAAAGTCTTTTGGAGAAGTCACAAGTATCAAAGAGTGACATTGCTGCCGTTGGCATAACCAATCAGAGAGAGACGACTACATTGTGGGATAAACGGGATGGGAGGATCATCCATAACTCGATTGTGTGGCAATCAAAGCAATCAACTCGACAATGTGATGAGTTGCAGCAAAAGGGTCTTCAGACAGTTATTAAAGAGAAAACGGGTTTACTCATCAATCCATATTTCTCTTGCTCGAAAATCATGTGGCTCTTTGAGAATGTCCCCGAGGCTAAGAAGCTTGCGGACGAAGGAAATTTGTATTTTGGGACGATCGACACTTGGATCATCTACAAGCTGACTGGCGGGAAAGTGCATGCTACAGATGTCTCCAATGCAGCTCGAACAATGCTTTTTAATATCTATGAGTTACATTGGGACGAAGAGATCTTGGATGAGTGTCATATACCTAAGAGTATTCTTCCTGATGTCAAGAGTTCGTCTTGTGACTTTGGGACTATCACAGACATCCCCGAGCTGGCGGGTGTCAAAATCACGGGAGTTGCTGGAGACCAACAAAGTTCGTTATATGGCCATGGTGCAAAGGTCGGTGGGTGTAAGGCGACATACGGCACAGGCTGCTTTGTTGTGAAGAATGCGGGAAAGAAGCTTGGGGAGATACCAAAAGGGCTTCTGGGGACTATTGGGTGGAAAGTAGGAGATCAAGTGACATATGCTATAGAAGGGTCAGTGATGACTGCGGGAGCTGCATTGCGATGGATTCGTGACATGGGTATTCTTAAAGAGTATAATGAAATCACGGAAATATTACCTGAGAACAATGGTGGGGTATATTTTGTACCTGCTTTTCAAGGGTTAGGTACGCCGTATTGGGATGATGATGTGAGAGGAATGATAGTTGGATTAACAAGTGGGACCACCAGAGGACATTTAGTCAGAGCAACACTTGAAAGTATAGCTTTACAGTGTTCTCAAGTGATTGATATAATGGGGGTCACTTCTGAGATTAAAGTGGACGGAGGGGTATCGAAGAGTGACATGATGTTGCAATTCCAAGCGGACATTTGTGGGAAGAAAGTTGTTCGGTTGAAAGAGAAAGAAATCACTGCGATGGGTGTTGCTATGTTAGCAGGAATTGCTGTGGGACTTTTTAAGGAAAGCGAGTTGGATGAGATGAGAGAGGTCGAAAGAGTCTTTGAACCATCGATGAGCCATGACGAAGTACAACAAATCTTTTTGGTGTGGAATAAGGCCGTTGCTGCCGCTCGACACTTTGTGCACTAACTAAGTAAGACAGATGTTTAATCGATTATATATTTATTTGTAGAACTTTTCTTTACCATTTAAAATGTCAAAAGAACTATTTAATTTAGTTTGAGGAATTCATATGAAGATGACATATTCAATTTTTTCGCTTATACAAATAGCATTTACATTACTTGTTATGGTTTGACCTTGTTATAAACATTTCAGGTGTTACATTATATTAATTTCAAATGTCGTAGAATCGAAAGTGACAAGTAGGGTTTAGAGATACACATCATCTTGTTTTGTAGGAAAACATTATATAGTGAAGACGCTGTATTCCCCCAGAAGTATCCCCTCGTCTATTTGTATTTTTCTATGATAGCAGCGTTGGTATTTAACATCCCATCACTTCTTACTGGGGTTCTTCAAAGCAAAATAGCGGCAGTGTTTGGAATCATATTCAATGTCTTTGAAGCGGTTTTACTCTTTATCGTGTATATCATTACACAAATATTTGAGAATGGAATTTCTAACATTTCTGAGAAGGACGACATCTCTTCGATGGAGCGCGACGTTTGTTTTTTCGTCTAAAATTGAATTGTGAAACGAAGGAGAAACACTCAAACAAAGGCAAACTGTTGTGGATGGAAAAGATTGAAAATAAGTGGGTGCAACGCACTTCATCCAGAAAATGTGAAGACGTCGTGTTACAATTTGAGTGCAAAACCGTTTTTAGAGTCTGTGGAATATGCCGCTGATATGGATTCGTATGTTATAAAGCTTGTTTGGTTGTTAGTGTGTGTGACTATAGTCTTTATGATATTCCATAAAAACCAACAAAAAGAAAATATAAAAGCAGAATAAATGAATGATGGGTTGAATAATTTTTGGTTGTTTTTAGAACATTTTAACTATTATTTATAGTTTTAATATTATAAATTGGTTTAATATTATATATTATAATATTAATAATAATATAGAACAAATGTAATTTAAAAAAAATATCATTTTATTTAGTTCTTTAAAACAATTTTAAATAGATTATAGTTTAACAAGTTTTTTTTATAGTTTTCAAATAATTTCAAAAATTTATTTTCTGATAAAAATAATTGTTAATTAATAAGACTAATTAAAAAAACCATAAAGATAATAAAAACAACTCGTTAATTTAAATAGTGTTAAATTAAAACGACTCGTTAATAGTTATTTCCATTCAATGATATCAAGTCGCTTAGCATCGAACACATCGCAGCCATCTTTCAAAACAAACAAATTAGAACCACACCCAGTCTTGTCGTCGTAATTTTCTGCAAAATCCTTTGCTAACATAGAAGTCCCTTCTCCTGTTGCCAATTTAAAGAAGCCTTCCGCCTCGACTAACATTGTTTCGTTGTTAGAAGCGAATCGCGCGACAGTGTAAGACACGTCTTTCTTAGTAAATTTGGTTGGCGGGACACTTCGCGAATTATTCAAGGTGAATGCGAAGAATCCCTTGTCGTTTTCAACGTCGAAGTCATTGTCTCGAATTGAATTCGGTGTTTTTAATTTAGTCGAATGGCAGCCGAAAGTGATGTTCTCTTTTGTTGTAACGACCAACGATACATTTGTGTGTCCACCGACAATTTCATTAAATCGTTTTGTTGTTGGGACATCACCAGTATACAACACCTTATAACTCTGTTTTTGTGTGAATTTCTTTAACTCTACAAAGTCGTCTTGTGATAAGCTATTTGCGACTTTGACGTTTTCTATTTGTTGTTGAGGTGGAATGGGAGTCATCTCTTTTATCGTCTTCGTCAGCTGTGCGACTTGAGTCTGATATTCATTATAAAAAGAGGAAAAAGCGTCAAACAAGTCTTTAAGAAATAACACCACTTTGTTTGTTGTGCATTGTAATGTCTCGTTATCTCTGCGATGTTCAAGTCTATCGATGAATATTCCAAGCTTACTGATTTGTTCTTCCATACAACTGATTTCAGTTTAGAGTTATTTCCAACACAGTAAAGAAGAAAGAATTTATGAGGTTTTCAACGAACAGAACTCAAATAGTAAACTCCAATGTTTTTGTTCTTTTTTTATTATTTTCATCCGACAAACAATATAAAGAATTCAATAACCCCGCTTTTCTCCACAAAAAGAAGTTATAAAGTGGAATGGTGGGCTCTATCTATAAATATTGCCATATTGCGAGGAAACTATAAAATAATAGTAACTCAGTAATACTCAATAGTAACTTCCACACTAAAGAAACTCCATTTTCAAACTCTTTTTATAAATAGAAAGAAGGTAAATTAATAGATACAACCAAATAAAAAGACCTGGATGTGAATTGCCATTGAAGTGAACTATTAAGTCAAACACGGTGAATGTCACGCCTTGACAAGAAGTGCTTAAGGACGGTTTGTAAGTACTTCCAAAACATTGAAGACTTTGTTTCGATGATTCAAGTTAAAAAAGGGTTGAAGAACCTCTTTGAAAAATACACTCAAAACCCAATTCCACTCACACAAAAAACTCGAGCATTCTTTCCAAACATTACAGTGTACTCAATTTCAACTGTCAGAAGCAACACTTTTCAAGACGGTAAAATCAATCAATTGTTATATAACTTCACAGTAGATTATGAGCGATTTCTTGTTGAGAGAAGTCGTAACAACATATGTAGAAAAGTGGTGTTTACCCAACAAAACAAGGCAAAGTTTGGTGTGGGTGTACCTGATGGTGTCAATGTGATAGAAGACGCTTGTTTTCTAAATAACCGAATGTCTCAAATAGTGTTACCAACATCATTAACAAGTCTTCCAGACTCTTGTTTTGATGGATGTGAGAACTTGAGGAAGCTTAAGATGTCGCAAAGAGTCACTTCAATAGGAAACGCTTGTTTCAAAGACTGCACACAACTGACTAAAATAGAATTGCCGTCGTGTTTAGTGTCTTTAGGTAAATTGTCGTTCTACTCTTGTTACCAAATCACCACATTAAAGATCCCAAAACACATTCAAAGTATTGGGAGTGGGTGTTTCATTATGTGTTCACAGTTGAAGTCGATTACATTTCCATCATCTTTGACGTACTTAGGAAATTCCATCTTATTCAATTGTATGAACTTGGAGTCTGTGATCCTCCCAAACTCTTTACTCACACTCGGCGACTTCTTCTTTGCGAATTGTGCCAGTTTGAAACACCTCGAAATACCAATGACAGTCACTTCGTTGGGAAGTAATTGTTTCAATGGCTGCTCACAACTCCAAAACATCTTCTTACCACTCAACTTGAATTCTATAGGAATGCGCTGTTTCAGTAAATGCTCATCACTTCGTAACATAGAAGTCCCAAAAACTGTATTGAAAATATCACTCTATGCGTTCGAAGAATGTCACAGACTCTCTGCTATTACTATACCATCGCGCTTTAAAGATACGACTGACATCTTCTCGTTCAAACTCCCAACAGAACTGAACATCCTCGTGTACTATAATTAATAATTTATTTACTACAACGTGTTAGTAGCAATCAATTAATGGTTGTCAAGTGTTTCCCACTCCATCTCTTGAACGTCATAGGAAGAACCATTTTCGTACGCTAGGAGAAGCACTTTTTTCACTGCATGCAATAGGCGGCAGTACCCCAGAATGTCTCTATAGACGATATTGTGAAGCCCCATAATGACAAGTCCCCCATAAGAGTGACACTCTTTCGGATTTTTTTTGTACACCATAAAGTCACATGCATATTTGAACCCATCCTTCACAAAGTATCCCTTATTAATTAATAAACTAAACAATTGATATTTTTTGTCTTCTTCTTGTGAAAGCGGAATGAGCGACTCACACTTGACTTGTTCATTTTCAATCAAAAATTTGGCTTCGAACTTACTCAACGCAACAGTTTTGGGAAATACATCGCAGACACCTTGGAGCGTACTTATTTCAGTGAGACGACCACGTTTCGCTCCAACAGATTTACCAAAGTCATACTTCATGAGTACCTCATCGGAACCTTCGTAGACCAAAAGTCCTCTTATTTCCTTCACACGACCACCTTCCATACATTTGGATGAACTTTCTCTTTTCTTTTCAATATAGTAAGAGGTATGATTAGTTATAGTTTATGTATAGTTTTCTGTTTGGATTCTTTTTTGACAATTGATGGGAATTTGTATCAAATGAAACTTTTTTTCTTTTTAAAAACAAAGATTACAAATCATAGTTTCATAAATTATATTTTTAATATTTGTTTGATCATTCTTTTCAATGGAAAGCACAAAAGGAATGAGTAAATGGTCAACAATCATTAATCTTCGACCCAATCCAAATTTGTCACAATTCGTTATTAACATATTTTTATAGTCTTTTCCATACATTTATTAATTAATAAAATAACTTTATTTTTAAACCGATAAATCTGTTGGCTGTTCATTATCTCCTTACAAACTTTCTCCCGTCTTCTTGCAGTCGTCGAATGGTCTTCCAAAATTTCTTAGAAAAAAAAGAAAGAACTGTGGATCTTCTATTTCCGAGAGAACCTCAATCTAAAAATAGACGTAGCAAATAAAAAGGGTTTTCGACGAACACAAAATCAGTCAGAAAATGGAGCCAGAGAAGTTATTCAAGTATCCACATTCATTAGATATGTACAACCAACTTGCTGCTTTATGCAAGGACGAGGGCTCAAAAGTGTATTGGAAGTGGTTCTTAGCTTTGAGTGAAGTCCCAAGACGCTCTGGTAATAGACTTCCCCCTTCTGAATGGCTCATTTCTATCATCAAAATGCAAGGCCTCGAGTACAAAGTCGATAAAGAAAGAAACATCGTCTGTTATGTCCCCGCTTCAAAGGGATTTGAGGAGAAACCATCCATTTGCATTCAAGGCCATTACGATATGGTAGGGACTGTCGCTGCTGGTGTTGAGCATGACTTTGATAAGGATCCAATTAAGATGAAACTTGAGGGCAACATTTTGTCTGCACAAGGAACAACACTTGGTGGTGATGATGGGACTGGTGTAGCATGTGGCCTTGCTTACATTGAATTACGTGACAAATTCCAACACCCAGCTCTCGAGTGTTTGTTCACAGCTGACGAAGAAATTGGATGTCTTGGAGCTTCTGGATTAGTTACTGGTGAGATGTTGACAGACAAATGCAAGTACTTAATTAACGTCGATTCTGAGGATTGGGGTGAAGTCACTATTTCCTCTGCAGGAACCGCTTTCAGAGTTGGATCTGTCCCAGTTAAATATCAAGAAGTCCCAGCTGGGTTCAAAGGTATTGAAATTACTATTGAGAAGTTCAGAGGTGGACACTCTGGTGTTGATATTCAGCATCAAAGAGCTAATGCTTTGAAATGGGTCACCGATGTGATCATCCACGCCCAAAGTTTGTTGAGAGTCAATGGAAATCAATACCACATCGTCTCCTTCCAGGCCGGACACGCTCACAACGCCATTCCATCACATGCCAAAGTTACTATTGCTGTCAAGGAATGCATTGCTGACAAAGTCATTGAGGAAATTAAAGCAAACCACGAGGCATTGACTACTCTTTCTCTTGGCACTCAACCTAATAAGCCCGAGTTAGTGATGAAGAAGGTCGACATCGCTGCGGGAACTCAAGTCTTGAACTACGTCTCCACTTGCAACTGCTTACAATTGATTGAAAAGCTCCCACATGGTGTAGTTAAATTCTCCAATGATGTTGAGGGCTTGGTTGAAACCAGTCAATCCGTTGCTATTGGTAAATTAGATGGCGACTTTTTCAAAGTCACCATCTTCGCACGTTCAAGCAAAGATGAAGACATGTTAGACTTGGTGAAGGCCGATGGCTTGATTTTCAAATGCCACGGTGCTACTATGGTTAAAGCCGTTGATGACGCTTGTGGATGGCCAGCTGATCCAAATTCACATTTGCTTGCTACACTTAAGGATTGCTACCACAAGATGTTTGGTGGTGAAATGAAGACAGTTGCAATCCACGCCGGTCTTGAAAATTCAATCATTATGGAGAAGTACAAGGGTCTCAACTTACAGTCTGTTTCTCTTGGACCATCTGTCATTGATGTTCACACGGACAAGGAGCATGTCTTCGTCGATACTGCTTCTAAGCTTTATGCTTTAGTGATCGATGTTATGGAGAAGATCTAAGTCTATTTTTCACACATTTCCTTTAGTTCTATGTTTTTATACTAATTACTATTTATAGAGTTTAATATATTAATGGTATTAATAATATATTAATAAATAGTAATGATAACTCAATTATCTTATTCAGTCGTGGTCTTTTGATATGATGGACAAGAATACAAGCACACTCAAATTCTGTGTGTACCTTCTCACGTCGATAAATCCCGGGTTTAAGTACCACACATATATAGGAAAGACAACATCACCACCACGACGTATAAAACAGCGTTTGATTTTGTAATAATAATAAAAATCATTAACACACAGACAATGGTATAATAGCGGGTGGTGCGTTCAAGACGGAGTCAAAACGACCGTGGGAGATGGTAGTCGTAGTCCATTCCTTTCCGACACAAGCAAAAGTTCTTCAATTTGAGTGGGATTGGCAACATCCGGAGAAAGGGAAGAGGGTGAAAGATGCGTATGAGCACATGAAAGGAAAGCAATGTGGAACGATGTTTTCCTTACGTTTCAAAATACGTCTTCTCGCCGAGATGTTGCAGATGCCTGCGTATTGTCGATTGCCATTAGGTATCTATGTCACAACGCATCGATACGACGAATTTTTAGAGGGGTGCCCAGCATTACCAGAGCAGATGGTAGTGCAGTATGGGGCAATCGAAGATGTCATGAAATTTGTTGGGACGTCGTTAAGTCGACGGCGCAACAAAGGGAGCAAGCGACACAACAATATATTTGATAATGTGTGTCACACAACACAAAGTGAGTTGTCCGAGTTGATCAATGAATTTCATCTTGACGAAGAGTCTCAACTGAAAAAGCGACGAGAGAGTGCATTGGTGTCTCCTGATGAGAAAGTGGAGAAGAAGAACACTCCGATGGAAGAAGAGAGTCCTTCAGAAACTTCCGAAAGTGACAATGAAAACCTTTGTTGTGTCTGTAAAGTAAGGATGCGCCTCGACGAAAAGGCAGTCCACTGTACAGAAAAGGGATGTTCGATGAGAGCACACTTGACATGTTTGGGAAGACTATTCACACGTGAACAAGACATACTCGTACCGACGGTTGGGGTATGCCCAAAATGTCATCGAGAAATGCGGTGGGGTGATGTCATCAAGGACTTCAAAGCTCGAACTGGACTCTAATGTATGAATTATGTAGTTCTGTTTCATTTGCAGTTCACGTCGAAAACTTTGACGTAAAGGAAATAAAACAAATTCTATATTTATAGTTAAAATATTTGATGGTACAATTCAAAATCAATACAAAAACTCCATCGTTCCGTCGTTTGGTTTGGAATCATTATTAAATGAAAGTTATATAAAACTAGTATAAAATTAAGACCAAAAATGTATATTAATAAAGTATTGTTACAATTCCATTGAAATAACAACTAAAATCGGGAAAAAATATTATTCCATTTTTTTAAACAATTTAAGTTCCAAACTTTAAATCAAAAAATTGTTATATTTTTTTCGTTTTTTTACAATTTGTCTTTTTGGTAAAGTTCTTATTAATTGCTCAAATGAGTCATTTTTTCGGTTTTTTTTCATGCCTATTAAAATTATTGATAAAAATGCTATAAATAAATAGATTAAAAGTTGTTGAATAAAAAATGAATTAAAACTGATTATCACGACAAAAACCGCCCTCTTCTACCACAACTAATTGAAAAGTATTTATAACAAGAATTATAATTGAATAGTAAAATAACTACAATTTACTAAAAAAATGAATCCACAAATAGAAATCCATATGAAAAAAATTCGACGAAATAGTATTGATGAATCAAATGCTAACCACTCAAAATTCATATGATGCCTTTGTTTCTGTGTGTATTAATTGTATTGGTACAGAGTCTAGAGTTCAATGCAATGCTTCCCCTCGACATTATTAGTACCAGTGGATTTACTAATAAAAAGCAATTAGTTTCTGATTTAAAGAAATTGAAAGAAGCGGGGACGGATGGAGTAATGGGAGACATCTGGTGGGGTCTAGTTGAACAGAGTGATAGAATATATACATGGAAATATTACTTGGAATTAGCAGAAGCCATTCAACAAGCTGGTTTACACTGGCAACCTGTCCTCTCGTTCCACGCGTGTGGAGGGAATGTTGGAGACTCTGTGAACATCCCTCTTCCAAATTGGGTTCTTGTTGCTGGAAAATCCAAAGGCATCTTCTTCAAAGGGTTTCCAAGCAATAAAATTGATGTTGAGTATATCTCTTTTGGTGCCGATGACGTGAATGTTGTTGGGGATAGAACACCAATAATGATGTATGGTGACTTCTACAAGTCATTTAAAGAGAACTTCAATAAATACTTTGAGAATGGTCTTATTAATGAAATTCAAATTGGAATGGGTCCATCTGGTGAATTGAGATACCCCGGGTATGTTGCAGATAGCTCAGATAAAACATATGGATGGGTATACCCCGGTATTGGAGAGTTTCACGTGTCTGACAATTATACACTCGACTTACTTAAAGCCGCAGCTAAAGCTGCGGGACATGAAGAATGGGGAAGAGTACCAACTAACCCTGGAAACCCAAATGACAAACCAACACAAGAAGGAATCTTCTTTAACTCCGCTTCGACAGAAAACTTTGGAACGGACTATGGAAAATTCTATTTAAAGTTTATTGCTCAATTGCTCCTCGACCATGGAGATAGAGTCTTGAGCGTCGCTAGACAAAACCTTGGCTCAAGTGTCCCATTTGCAAGTAAAATCTCAGGTATCCACTGGTGGTTTATGCATGCCTCTCGCGCTGCGGAGAGCACATCGGGGTATGTCATGAATAACGAATTTGACTTCTACACTAAAGCAGCTCAAATGTTTAAGATGTATGGTAGCAGATTCACATTCACTTGCTTCGAAATGTCAGATTCACAAAGCGCACTCGATGACGCAGGAAGCGCACCAGAAAAATTAGTCAAAGAAGTGTATGATAAGGCTAGTCCACTAACTGAGTTTAGAGCAGAGAATGCACTTGCTTTGTATTGGCCTAAAGAAGGAACTGAAGCAAATTGGTTGTCTGAAACTGAGTTTTCTAAAGTTGAGGATAATCTTGCAAAATACACAGTCGATGGATTCACATTTTTAAGATACACAAGTGACTTGGTTACGTTCCCTGAATTCTTTGCTAGATACACAAAGCTGATTCAAAATGCACACAACCAATGAATTAACAATTAAATAACATTCTTTACCATTATTTGAAGTATTAATATTTAATTAAGTTATTTATAGTTGTATGTCTAATCTATAGACACTACTATTATATATTATTATTTTAATTTATATTTTAAATAATTATTTTAATTATTTTTTTAATTATAAATAATTAATTTATGGAGTTAAATTTGGAGACTGTCTAGTTTTAAACTTCTAATTACTTAATTAATAGAACGACTTGTTGATGGAAACAGACAAGAAATATATGAGTCTTGCACTTGAAATAGGGAGAGAAGCTTTAAAAGCATTAGAAGTGCCAGTGGGGTGTGTTATAGTGACTTCTGATGGGAAAGTTGTAGCTCAAGGCAGAAATCGAACAAAGGAGTTTCAAGACGTTTGTATAATTACTATATAGTTTGTATAGTAACCCTTAAATAGTAGATAACATCATCACTACTGTAATTCACCCACAGGGCACTTTACACGCGGAAATAGTATGTATTGACCAACTTGTGGAACACAATATAAACTTTCAAGACTGTACTTTGTATGTGACGTGTGAACCATGTATCATGTGTGCCTCTGCTTTAGTCGAGTGTGGAATAACCAAAATTATATATGGCTGTTCTAATCAAAGGTTTGGTGGGTGTGGAAGTGTCATGACTGTGTTTAATGCGCAGTACTATACAGAAGACAAGCCGGACCATTTTTGTATGAAAGGGTTTATGGAAGATGAAGGTCTTGTGTTACTCAAAGACTTCTTTTCATTAGAAAACGCATCAGCGCCTGAACCGTGCAAAAAGCGGAAAGTGGATTGAACTTTTCTTTTGTAAAACAAAGACTTATCTCTTTCTATACTTTTAGTATGTGTTATTATAAATT